TTAAATCAACTTTAATATTTATCGTATTCCGTAACCAATATTTTGGAAGTTTAGTCTGTTTTACCAAACAATACTGGAGGCAAACAACCTATCTATCAATGGAAACTTTAAAAGGTTTGTTACAGTAAAACTCATTAATATAAGCGAGACTTCGTGTGCATATACAGTTTATGAATTATGTATATCCCTGATAAAACGTATAGGACACTTTATACCAGATGTAATAAAAAATACTTTGCTAAACCTTTTCTGCTGTCATTCCTTTGCATTTAAGGGGAGAGGGTAAATGGCGATAGAATTTATAGGAGATGCTGTGCAATATTTTGGCTTCAACAAACAGGTACTCATGCAGATCGACAAAAAAGGAAATTCATGCAGTTGTGAATTGTCGTATGTCAGCTGTGCACTGTCGATTTCAAACAATTTTGTACGTTATATTTTGTCTTCCTGGTGTTTAACATAAACGATGATAACCTTTTAAAAAAAATCTAGAGCAATATGTCTTTAAACAGTTTTAGAATCAATAAAATGGACATTCAATGTGTATTTGGCTTGTGTCCAAATGTGTCACGTTTAAGACCAGGCGCTAATCCTACGACCTATAAACAGTCGCTTTTGAGACATCTGTTTAAAAAATTTATACCGTGTCCATATCAGAACAATTCACTGGCATATTATAAGCATATTATAAATATCAGAGCCAGAACAGAAACGTACGCGTGAAATGAAACTACGCCCGAACCGGCGAACTCCGAGAAAATAAAAATATTTCAAAGCGTACAGTCATACGTTCTCGTTGCTTGATTTCCTGAATTTTCTGTTGCTGTAAGAATCTGCATTTTAGCATGTTTGTATAATTTAAAAGCAAACAGAAACCAATTTAGCAAGTAGTTTGAGGTATATATGATTCTTGAAGATGAATTAGATGATTGTACAGAACGGCCACTCCTTGCAATCGAAGTGCGAAGTGCGGAAGTGGAAACATGTAATATGAGACTTTTCCATCCCCCCTTCGGCTATCAATTTTCTATGTGTGACGTCATCAGCCCCGACCAGGGTCTTTGCTTCCCAAGAGCAAAGAGCCTGGGAACGAGGTTGATGACACAGCGCCGGTGACGATGCATCTGGAGGACAAATTAGCAATCTATGCATAATATAACTTTTGTAAATAAAGCAAATTTTGTAAAAGTTTATAATAATTTTGTATTAAAATGGTTAATTTTTGCGCTGTATGTGGTTGTTGTACCCGAACAGATATTTTTAGGGAGCATCTGGAGGACACTCTAAGGATTTGTGACGTCAGCGCACTGGGTCTATAGAAGATTCCCCTTATTACATTTCCGTAGCGCTTTGCATTGTGGTTATAGTGGTACCAGTGATAAAGATATCATCCTCGAATGAAAATATTGAATGTTTTCGCGAATATTTTGCTGTTGGCTATCGCGCACCTGACCCTTTTTAAAAAAGTTCTTGCCTGGGTCAGGACAAAAAATAAGCCATCTTGAATATCAGTGATACCACCATAACCACAATGCAAAGCGCTACGAAAACGTAATAAGGCGAATCATCTATTAGACGTGCAAGCATGCAACATAATAGTGTCGAGTGCAATTTAGATAAACCAAGCACTCGTGAGTTTTTCAACGACATTGGTGCAGATCTTGGTGGTAGTAGCAAATATTCAAACAACAATTGCTCCTTGAAGTCTTTAAAATTCTCATATTGTTTGTTTCATTCAAATTTGACAATAAACCATCAGATTACGTATTAATAATACACTAGAAAAACCATCCAATTATACGTATTAATAATACACTAGAAATATATGCGTGTAATAACCACTGAGCTATACTATATTCCTGGAGGACGTGCTCGGCATAAAAAAGTGTCCGCAAAAACATGGCGGATATGATGTTTTAACTGATGTTTTCAACATCAGAGGATCCTTGACGGCCGCTATTGTGCTTTGGTACTTTGAAGTGACAAACTACGTTCTGTCAAAACCATGGCGTCTTGAGATAAATTCGATTTATCTGCACCCTTGCATGAAAAGCAACAGACTTGTAGAAAAGGCACCGCTTTACTAATACACCAAGCGCTTCCTATAGAATACTTTCAATTGGCCGCTTACTTTTATAAAACGTTAAACAAACCCACCTTAAACGATAATTCATATTGTTCACCGCCCCACACCTCCATGCCTGGATCATATTGACCAAGTTTGTCAAAAAAACGCTTACTGATTGCAAAGAGTCCCCCAGCCATAACTGGTGACCTACAAAAGAGAAATTATAGAAGTATTTCGTGCAAAGTGTAATCCTAATCAACAATACATCGAATACTCTACAAAGTCAGGGTGTATCAGAAAAAAAGTAGACAATTTTGAAACAGTTCTCAATTTCACAAATCTGCTGATGTCATGATATTTTTTTTAAATATAGATTGTTTGGGTACTTATAATATAGAATAAACAATTTCCAGAGCAGGGGGGTGTCTTTTTTAGCAGCATTAAAAATAGCTTGCGCACGAAATTTAAAAGTTTAAAACGAATTTTGAGTTCATAGGCGAGAAATTTGTAATGTGTTTTATTAATCGTCCAATATCAAAAAAAAAAAAATTGCTCAATTTCCATTTCTCTAAATAGCTGTTGAAACTTTCATTTTCTGCATTCATGCATTTACCTAATTGGCATATGTGTACGTCCTCTGGTAGGAATTGAACCTGTAATCCTGCAATTCCGGCGCAGGCTCGAATCAACTGAGTTACACAGCCCATTTGTTTAGTACTAAATAGATAGATAAATTTAATAAGAAATTTACACTGCAGCCCTGGAGCTGAATTGCATAATTTACAACTAACCATATCGATTATAATTACAATTATAAGCATTCTAAATATTGAAAACATTATAAGTATTATAATAAATATTAAAAATCTACGTGTAATCTAATTATACGTTAGAAGCTAGTATACTAAAGGTATGACTATCAATAACTAGTAAGTAAATGTCAGATTATAACGACCGAATGTCAACCTCACTGGTATTTTTTACACATAGCAGAAATAAAAGTCATCCGGAATCTCTTAGTCTGCGATAGCAGACTGATCTCAGCCGACCCCCCCCCCCCCTGGAGCGGCGGAGAAACGGTCTGCAATCAATCAACACTAATGCCGTAC